GTCACATCGCAGGATGTGCGATGTTTAGTATAGGCTACTGATCGTTATATTTATACTGATTGTTTTCTTTGCTCACACACAGACACGATGTCTACACCGGACGTGACAGCTGTACAGAGATACCCATTTCTAAATACATTTAGTAGCAGAGCTACAGCACGCGATTTTCAGTGCTGGAAATCCATTTATCCTTTGTTGAAACTTCCGCGTCGTCGTGAAGAGTGCGGGTCACGGTCACTTAGCAAAGGCAGACTCCAAGAAAGCACAAGCTCCCGAGCACTTTGGAAAGAAGGAGAAAGCCGCGCAGCTGGCGTTTTCCACCTGCGACATGTGAACGGCCCCAGAATCTGTCTACACCGGACGCGACACAGCGATCATTTGAACTTTGTGTCAGTACGTCTTAAACGAGGCATCAGTTTACTGTCGGGGATTTGTCGTGTCGCGCCGCATCCAGTGTAGTCAGTCACACAGCATCACTGATTAAAATGGGTTCATAGTATTTTATCGCGCCGCTTGCACCCGGTGTAGACACGGTGAGAGCCAAGCAGATGTACGTGAACACTAATTTCTGTTCACTTCTGCGTCTATTTGTGCCTGAAATACTGTGCTCTGCAAGTATCCTTGTAAACACAGTTGCTTATGGCTTAGGTGAAGGGAAACAATTGAGAAAGAAAATGGATGTGTAACAGTATATTGGTTCACAGCAGTTTAATGTTCCTGTTCATAGGCGGAGGGTGAACCAACTCCAGGGTAAGGCTAAAAGCAGCCAATTAAATGTATTAAAGGGGTCATATGATGTTGCTAAAAAGAACATTATTTTGTGTATTTGGTGTAATGAAATCTGTTTATGCGGTTTAAGCTTAAAAAAAACATTATTTTCCACATACTGTACATTATTGTTTCTCCTCTATGCCCCACCTTTCTGAAATGCCAAAGAGAAAGGAAAAATGGAAATCGCATCATATGACCCCTTTAAACATCATGAACCCGTCTTTTTAGGCACCAGACATGGGTGTCATGCAGGCTAAAAAAATTTTTAATGGGACTGAATTTGTATTTAATGTGATTACAATTTAATAAAAACGTTTGAAATGTATAAATATATAACGGTTCCTTTCCACGGTTATTCAAACAGTGAATAAATGATATATAGAAAGTGACTATCATTAACATTGATCTATCGCGAGTTTAAGCACTCAAAATAAACTATCGTTATAATCACTGAAGCTGTATACACTGTTAAATGAATCTCTTACTTACATTGTACATCTGCACTTTGTTGTTTATGATGAGAGAATTCACAAGAGTCCGGAATTCAGTCAGCAAAGTGCGCTCACTCAACAAAACTGATGAGTTTGAACGATGACTCATCTGAACGCTTCTGATTGGCCATTGCATTCCTAAGCTCAACAGTTATGTGTGTGATTGGTTAAAATGTGCAACACTGTAAAAACGCATAAAATGAAATACGGTGCAACATGAGCAGATCATATTCATATTTACTTTGTTAGCAACAGACGTAATAGATTTAATTTGTTTGTGCAGAGGCATTTTTGTAGTGCTGTGTTCGATACATCGATACGACGATAAAAAAATGTATCGTCACAGAGATTTGATGAAACAAGTATCGATACAACTGGCCCTGTATCGATATCGTGGCACGTGTGTAGCAGTGGACCGCACTTAATTTGAATACAATAACACCGTTTAAAATTGATTAGAAAAGTGTGAGGTTTCTAAAGGTTTAATCTGGCCGCAGAGGAACACAACTGTGTTGCCTGATATAAAGAGACGTAATCCCCGAAACAGAGCTTCCCACTTGCGCAATACGGAAATATCTGCTAAGTGTGCTACTTATCTTTGTCAACCTGGCAACCATGTGCATGCGCTCTCTCACCACTGTGGATAAACGCACTTGGTTTCTGAAAACACTGGTAACTTAAACTTGCTGTTTAGCGATCTCCACTTCAATATCCTATTATCAGAAAAGTGTAATTTATCAAGTGTTCATTTATGAGAGAGAGAGAGAGAGAGTGAGAGAGGCTGTGGATGTATGAATTACCACCGTTTTGCCGCGTTTCTCTATTAACAGTGAAGCTGTGGCTTTATCTGCTTTAGAAACAATGATGTTACCAGTTCCTTGTTGAGAAAGATAATGTAGCTCTTGAGCGATTAAGGTATTTTATTGATAAAATTGTTAAAAAGTTTGTTCCTGAATGTCTGTGCGCGCGCAGCATGATCTGTGTGAGTGACTGAGCGTGTGTGTGCGTTAGATACTGTGAAGACAGCGCATTAGTTTAGATTAGAACTCTTCTATTTTTTTATTTTTTAAACAGAGAGTGTGTTAATTTGTGCAATGATAACCTACCAGCAATGTAAATATGATTTTTTAATATATTAGAATGAGTACATTACAATATAAATTTATTAGACTGAGTACATTATTATTTATAGGCTTAAAAACAAGATGCAAACAATCAGAATATTGTACCTGGTGGGGAGTGCCCAATGTAAACATGAAACATATGCCATTACCTATATTGTACTGTGGTACACTTATGGAGGCCCTTCATAATGCAGAGGTCAACTGCCTGCTCTGCCAATAGTTAGAAATGGCACTACAGTATGCAATGTTTAATAAACAGCTGTTTTACTAAATTCTGCTGAGGTGAAATTTAGTGCAGTCCCGTATCGTGATATGCATCGTATCGTATCGTGACTTTGCTGGTGATACACAGGCCTACATTTTTGCCCCAAGTCCACACGGCCACCTGAAGGCTAAGTGAAAATTATGCAGTGTTATTTTACATTTGATTACTCAATTTCTGTACCTGAATACTGTTAGACTTACCTGAAAAATATATAGTGCAGTCCCGTATCGTGATATGCATCATATCGTATCGTGACTTTGCTGGTGATACACAGGCCTACATTTTTGCCCCAAGTCCACACGGCCACCTGAAGGCTAAGTGAAAATTATGCAGTGTTATTTTACATTTGATTACTCAATTTCTGTACCTGAATACTGTTAAGACTTACCTGAAAAATATAAAGCACTGCTTATTTCATTTGTATCTTTGTTCTGTTATTTATCTATGCTTGTAATTTGTTTATTTCCTATTAGGGCTGTGCAATTAATCGCATGCGATTGCCATGCGCATCTTGTCAGTAAAGCCGGTCCCGTGATTAGTAGTGAATTGTCAGTGAATTACGGCTCTGTGTATTAAATGCCGCTCCATCTGAAAGCAGGTGATGGCGACTTACTACTTATCACGGGACTGGCTTTACTGACGAGATGTGCATGACAATCGATTAATTGCACAGCCCTATTTCCTATGCTGATTTACTCACCTACAAAATCACCCCAATCACTGATTATTTTTTTTCCAAATAGAGCTATTGAAGTCATCTGATTTTTTTTTTTCGTATCGCAATATATATTGCAGAAAAAAAATATCGCAATGTGAGTTTTTTCCAATATCGAACAGCCCTAATCCTTACACATCCCTACTTTGAATTCTTTATTCTTTTGTGCAGAGCACAGCTTTTGTGGACACCCAGAACACAAAACTGATAGAAGCCACTTAAATGGAAAAACAGTGACTGGATCAAAACCTTCTAAATGGCACACAGCCCATTTCTCCATATCCGAGTTTGCAGAACCCCATAAAAAAAATGAACGTAGCGTTAACGTGTATGTGTGTAATGCCTACACTACAGCAGTAGCTCCAGTGAGGCAGCAGTTTTTTGAGTTCAGAGGGATTTTTGGCCCAGCTGAGAACAGTCTTGTGACCCAAATCTGAGCATGTGAAGTCAATGTGGGAGTCAGACCTTATAGGCTGAAGCACGTTTGCTTTACATTATATGTTAGAAAGCTTACATAAAAGTGATTCCTCATAGAAAGAGATCTGTCAATTCAGATCTAGAAATGAAACTACTGAAAGTGAGCATTAACCTACATCCCTAATTCATATGTAATGTAAAGCCTTTAGCCTTAGTCCGAACAGTCCCATCCACCTCTATGTGGATCCTCTTCCAGTCAGTTGTTTACATTCCACTTCCCGGTGGTCATGTGACCCACCCACAGCCCAGGCCATCCTGTCCAACTTGTCAGTCATCTACCATTAGCGACAATGGGTGGGGCAAAACAGCCACTCCCAACAGAAAAAGAGAAAAAATATTTTCCTTCTCAGTAGAAGCGATGCTAAAACAGACACTCAAGACTGATAAATGTGTTTTTCTACACTTCAGTGAAATACATGTGATGCTGACGCTCACTCTAAACTGACATCATTCTCAGTCTGTATTTACAACACTGATATTGATACTCATTTATGCAAACAAATACTAGCATATATCAACCTTTGAGGATACTCAAAACAAAAAATAATAACAATAATAATAATAACAACTGACACAACCTGATTAGCCAGTAAAATGAACTAATTACTTACAATTATCCAACTAAACACTTAAAAACATTATTTTTGCATTTTAGGTTGTAGTCATAGCCAACAAGGTTAAGACTCTTGTGTTCTGAACCACTTATTCTAACTAGAATGCGCTTTTAAGCATCACACCTATGATCCTCAAAATTGCTGTCTTAAGTTTTAAGACTCAGCCATAGACAAAAAAAACTGACAGTCTAAAGCCATTAGCAACTGAGTATTAAGGCCACACTTTCCTTACGCACATTTAGTTACTAAATAAGGGCTCTAAAATAGGTTGTCATGAATTCTCAGTAAGAGATTTTGGATTGCAAGTACTTTGGTTTTCATGATTATAATATACATTTAGTAATGTTTGCAAATTACTAACCCTGCACTGCTATGCCATCATCTGATGATACACACCAGTTCTGAAATAAAAATGCTTTTACCAACTACAAGATACACAGATCACTTAATAGGCCAGGTATTAGCTTAGCACTCCTGAGAGCAAAACCCCAGAGAGATTTACATCAGCCTTTTTAATCTTTCCTACCCTGACCTCCCACATACCTCCTCCTTTCCCTCGTCTCTTGCGGCTCCGCTGTCCCTCCTCTTCCTCAGCGATGGTGGAGAGAGACGGGATAGCTGACCTGCAGGCCCCCCTCCTCATCCTGAGGGGGGCCGGCATCCTCCTCTCTTCTCCTGTGCCTCTCTCTTTCAGTACCCAACACTGCTAACAGCTAGCACCCCACACATCTCCTCTGAATGATCTTAGATGATACAGCACACAGAAAGAATAGTAACAGAAACAGTAAGAGCTGGAAGATGCGGCAAGACAGATTGAAAGGAAAAAGAGATGAGTCAAAACTCCTTCCAGTCCAGCCTGGCTTACTGACACTCCTGTAATCCACAGAAGCGGCCGACTCTCTTCCTTCTTAAGCCTGAGAGACACGGCTGCTCTAGTTGCTGATGCTGCCACTGTCTCTCTCTCTCTCTCTCTCTCACAGGCCCTTATAGAGAAAGTACTACAGACTGACAAATGCACTGAAACACTGCCTCACATGCACACAGTCCTGTTTCTCCTACTGAAATATTCAGTATGAAGACCAGCAAGGTGAGCCAGTGGATTAACAGACACCATGACAGTTACGGCACACAGAATGGTGGGTTGGATAAAATGGAACGTAATGAGATTAATTATTGCCCGTCCTAAAATTTACAATTGCTCACAAACAAAAACTGACCAACTTGAATCTGCTTTGAGTAGAGATGCACCGATTGCAATTTTCTTGGCCGATTCCGATTTTTTGGAAGTGTTCCCTGCCGATACCGATTTTTGCCGATTCCGATTTTCTTTCTAAGAACTTTAATTGACAGCATATACAAACAAAAATCTATGCAAATTTCAATGCAAAAAAATATTTACAAAATAAAAGAAATTATTAAACATTACAATTCCCCCAATCTGGACTAAGTTACAGATTTTCTCTCACTTAAACAACTGTCAAAATAAAGTGCTCTGTGACTGGAAAGAGATAGAAATAGTTAAAGGGGTCATATGATGCAATTTCAATTATTCTCTTTGGAGTGTTACAAGCTCTTGGTGCATAAAGAAGATCTATAAAGTTGCAAAGACTAAAGTCTCAAATCCAAAGAGATATTCTTTATAAAAGTTAAGAGTCAGCCACACTTACCTAAAACGGCTCGTTCTAACACGCCCCCACATGTCTACATCACTATGTGGGAAGATTTGCATAACGCCACCCAAATGCTCATGCAAAGAAAGAAGGCATAACTTTTATTCTGTGAATGCGCTGTGTGAATCGTTGTGAAAGCGAAACTACTTTGTTTGGTCTTCCAAAAGAGGATGATATCTGCTTCGTCATGCCTGGAGCTGATCCGTGCTGGTTGCTGAGGAAATACTACAACTTTACGCTGTGGATCGCCGGATCGGCTTTCACCGTGGACGAAGCGCAGTCCGGCCTGGGGTCGTCACGTGGTGGCTGCAAGCCAGCCCGCCGCCTCTGCTCACTCAGCCCGCCGGCCGTTCCTCACTTTATCCCCCGGCCTCTGCTCACTCAAGGCCGTGGTTGATGCTGTGTTTTGTTGTGAAAGCGAAACTACTTTGTGTGGCCCTTCCAAAAATGGACACGACTAGAAATCATTGGTTAAGTTGTATTTACAACACTGTTCCAGAACAGTTTAACCCAAATATTCAGATGTGTGCAGCACACTTTATGGAGGACTGTTTCCTGATCCTAGGAGAGTAGACTACAATAAGGGCTCTACGGATACTTTTCTTTTTAGGGGCGCTTGTGCTCCTAATTAAAAAAATTTAGGAGCACGGTCAAAAATTTAGGAGCACCTTCTACTCAGTAATCAAAAATTCTGATAAAAAAATGAACCTTCCCATTATGAGGTGATAGTTGACTCCTTAAAGTGATTTATAGGGAATTTAGTTTTTACCTTTGTAATGGCATTTTTCTAACTTTATTTAAAGTGTCATCTTTTATCTAAAAATCTAAAAATATATATTTATAAGCTTTTTAACATTTCTAATTAAAACAACAGAATAAAAACAAGTAGAATAAGAATAAGTTACCAATCAAATTAAATCAGTATTTAAGAAATAAATGTGTGCTACAGAGATGGCACAAAAGAACACACAAGTGGCTTGTGTGTGTATTTTCAGACGTTTAATAAGGCTCAGAGGTCGCATGAGTGCAATTAAATTCATAAATTCATGTTGAGGTTAATGTTTTAAATATAGCATTTTGAATATAGAAATTATTTAAACAACTTAATGCTTTAAAAATTAAACAAAAACTGCCAGCAGGTGGCGTCAAGTCACTGATTTTATCACCGAATCATTCATTCAATTGATTCTGTCGAACAGCTGAATCATTCAGGAATGAAGTACGTGACTGTCTTTATGAATGGGTAATTGAATAATTGACTCACTAGATTCATTTAAAAACGCAGTTCATTCATAAACGAATCACCGCTGTGTTTGAATGGCGATGCGCAGCGGCTCAGCTGTTACTTAAAAAAAAAATATATTTTTTCGTTGATGAAATAGAGCAAAATAAGGCAATTGTGTTGTTGTCAGAAAATATAAGTCACTTAATATTAACTTCTTGTTTAACGAATTGTTGTATTAAATCAATATCACATTTGCAAACTCCCTTAATAATCATTAAAAGCTGTCACTCATCTTAGTTTATCCCGATCTCACAAAACTCCATTATAATCGACAAAGCTCTCTACACTGCACAATGAATATCTTATTTACACCCCGTCAACACTTTGTTTGTTATAATGAGAGGATATGTCTGTGATACATTACTCAACGCTGCAGAAACACGTACGTATATTAGAACCTTTGAAGCTCCCTCAGCGCAAACACAAATATGCTGATCGGGTCAGTCGCACAGGTGCTCCTAAATATTATTTCATAGTCGCACGCAGTAATTTTCAGTTGCACTGTAGAGCCCTGCTACAATGCCGGCTGTTCTGACTCACAGACTGTAAGTACATTTTTTATATTTAAAGAGTTTTTATATTTTATATATTTAAAGCGAGTTTTTTGGGCAGTGTAGAGTAGGGCTTGTTGTTTGTAATTTCTCCGATCACAAATGCAGACATGGTTTTATGTTTATGCGGCACGATGCAATGCAATGCGTAAAAAGACAGTATAAGTCATTATAATCCATAATTATATCCCCACTGGATGCAACAAATGCCTCGTTTATAATATTTTTATGTTTTTGAATCATCGCTCCGGCCTGACAGGGCATCATCACAGTATGGTAAGGGGCGTAACATTTCCGTCACATGCTTGAGGTATTCGGCCAATAATAACGCACTGGATAGCTGGCCAATCAGCGTACACCTTGCTTTTTCAGACCGATGAGCTTTGTAAAAATCGACGCGTTTCAGAAAGGCGGGGCATAGAGGAGAAACAATAATGTACAGTATGTGGAAAATAATGTGTTTTTTTAACCTTAAACCGCATAAACACATTTCATTACACCAAATACACAACATAATGTTCTTTTTAGCAGCATCATATGACCCCTTTAACTTAAAATGAGTTGCTATATGTAACAAAACAGATGTCATGTCTCACTATGTTTATAAATGGTAATTTTTCCTCCTTATTAAATGTGTAATCAAATTCTTACTTTGTTTCAATTAATTCAGTTAGAATAATAAGAAACTGTAGAGTTGTTACCGTTCAAATGAAATTAGTATAACAAACTCTCTTTCCACTGCTGAGGAAACAGAAGCATTTACACAGACAGTTTGATGAAGCTGATGTGCCATAAATGCATTTACACTGAAAAATTTCAAATGCATAATTTTATATGTTTTACATATTTTTTTAAACATACAAATAAATGTTGAAGTGCAAAGATACTTTTAAATATGACTAAACCACCAGCTCCTTGCATTCTTTCTTATGTCAACAGGTTAAGTAAAAATATCGATATGCAATTTAGCGCATAAATTTAAACTATTTATAGTTATTTTTTTCTAGCTGACTGATGATCTTATGGACGCCAAATGGTTATTCTGAGGTAAACTTATTTTTACATGGAATTGTTTCAAAGTTTTCCATGTTTTCCGCAGTTTGAAACACTGAAATAGCGAGTAAATGAGACATTTCAGTACTGCATCTTATATATCTTTTGATGTCCATTCATGTTTTTTTCATACTATAGTAGTAAAGAGCAAGAAATTATGGGTTCACGTGCCGCTTGAACTGAGGCACTAAAGCGATCGCTCATGCCGCATTAAAGAGAGTGCCAAAACGGTATTTATTGTTTGAATTTCGTCATGAATTTGGCAGAATTTTAAAGCTGATACTTTGTTTATTAAATAAGGCATAAAACATTAATTTAATCTATGTTTTAAGTAATGAAAATTTAAAAATAATAATTTTTTGTAAAATAAAGGTCATTTAATATTACAATTAAAACACTGAAGAAAATATTGTATTTTTGTGGTTTTAATCATTTTAGTAGTAGTTACGTACATTCTATTCAACAATAGGAATATATTTCTGCCAATGCCTTCAAGTTAAACCAAACTTTTATTTTGACGGGTTGCCGTGAATACCTGTGTGTATATGATATGAGGATAGTTTTACTCAAATGAAACGGTCAAATGCTCATAAGTGACTCTCAGACCGATTAATCGGCCGATTTTTGGAATTTTTTTAATTAATTGGCCGATTGTGCTGCAAATTAAGCCGATTTACTGGCAGGCGCACTGGCGGGCAACTAAGCGTTGTTGTGGAACTCCCTCTGGCTGCGTGAGACTGAGCAACTCACGCACTGCAGGCTGCAGCCACGGCTTTTTCACACACAGCCTCAGCTAATGGCAGGGCAAAACAGACCGTTTCGAAAGCAGGATTACGTTTTACCCTACTAGAATTGATGCCGGAAAGTTATCATATTCATAAATGCAACAAGTCATTTGCATGTAAAAGTAGAAACACGTTCAATTCAGACGAAACTTCCTCATGAAAAGTGTCTGTGGGTCCGACAATAGCCTCCACTACGTCATATATTCGCAAGTGGTCAGCGCACTCTTAAGCAGTTATGAGCAGCAGGCAGTGCAATACTATGTGTGAAATCTTTTATTTTTGTTATCACTATGGCCATTTGACTTATTTGTGGCAGCTCATCACAATATCAAAACTGACCGCCACAAATAGATTTTTCAAAAGGCTTATACTTCGTTGAATAAAATGAGTGCTTCACGTTTCAAAATTAAAATGCAGCGCGGGTATTTTTATATGAATGTATCTTTTAAAAGAACCGACTGTCTAC